GGGGAGGGAGGTGAGGTGGGGAGGGTTGGTGCTGGTTCATGCGCAGGTGCAGGGGGAGAAGATGTATGAGCGGTTTGGGTTTGTGACGGATGAGGAGATGGGGAGGTGGGATGAGGAGGGGATTGAGCACTTGGGGATGTGGAAGAGGGTTGACCTCGAGCCTCGGTTATAGATTTACAGTACGATTGAGGATGATAGAGAATCATTCAGAGTGTATTAGAAACCGTCTATGGTACCATGTTTGAAACAAGTATGAATGTAATATCCACGCCATTCCTTCGTAAGCGCCGTGAACCATGAGAATTGAAATAACAGATCGCCGCTCAGAAAGGAGCAATGACGGGGTATCCTGAGTCTGAACAATAAAAACAAGGCCCCCTTCTATAAGTGGCATGGAAAAAGAAGGAGAGAAAAGGCAAGAACCCGGAATGAAAACCAGTACTCCGCGCAGATGACCGAAATGATGGTCAGAAAGACCTCGCTGAAAGATCATGCAGCCAGATTCGGAGAATGAACATGAATCTGGAGATGACATGCATATGCAGAAATGTACGAATGTCGTAGAGGGTAGATCAGTGATCCAATTAAAAAGTGCTCCAGTTCCAGCCGCGGGGGACGCTGGCAGCGATCTCGGTAGCCTGGCCCTGAGGAGCATTGGCCGTTGGTTTCAGAAGATCGTCCTGCTGCGGAGTATCGGGGTTCTCTGGAGTATTGGTAGCAGTATTGGCGTCTTCGGCGGTATTGGTGGTCGTCTCCTGCTGAGCATTCAACAGAGTCTGGATCTTGTTCAGACGCTCAGTGCGAGCCTCTTCCCAGCGTTGGTAAGCGCTCCAGCAGAGATCGCAGGCGCGGGACGGCACTCCTTCGGGGTGGAAGCGAGCATCTTGATCGAGAGGCACGACATGGGGAGTGTGAGAGGAGCAGAACACATGTCCGCAGTGGCGGCAATGATGACGACGCAGGAAGAGGCCGAAAGACGAGCGGCAGGTGGGTGAGTCGCAATTGGGAGAAGCAGCGTCCGCCTGTGAGGAGCATTGTTAATTCTTTCGCTCATTTGTCTGACACAAGAGGAAAAGTCCGGGTAGGAATAGACTGATCACGCCATCGCATGCGGATGACGAGCTAACGCGCCATTCGCGAGGATCCTTGCGCAAGAATAAGGGGTATATATCGGACTCCATCCCGCACAAAACTTTGGGAGAAAAAAAAAGAATACTGACCTTCCAGTGTTCCCTAGTGGGCAGGCCAGTGACTTGACCAAGGTGCTCCGTCTTCATCCACTCATTCTCAGCCAGCTTGCTGATGGTGTTGCTATAGTTGCTCTCCATGGTGGAGCGACGGCTGACGAGCGCACTAGGTTCCTCGTCGTTCAGACTGTCCAGAGAACCGTGCACACTGCGCGGAGGGGTGGGAGGAGAGGACTTCTGAGGGCGTTCGGTAGGACGCAGGGCAGCGGGGACGTACAAGGGACCCTTAAGGGGCCGCAACTGGCGGCACTGCAAAGGAAGATGCTGTAGACGGGGAGAAGTGGGAGAGTTGTTGACAGGAGTGGCGGTGGCCGAATTGACAGGAGACGGATGGCCGTAAACAGAGATCTGGTTGGTAGACAGAGGAGAAGTAGTGGTTGCAGTGACAGTGGCCATTTGGACGAGGGATATGTAGTTTGTCTAATTCGAGGGTATCGAGATGGTCTCTAGCAGAGAGAGTTGTAGAGAGGGTTGTAGAGAAGAGAGGACACTGAGGACACTGAAACGGGGAAGAGGGGAGAGGCGAGTAGCAATACGCTTATCGAAAGCAGTGAATACACGCTGGTTTAGGGGTGGTGAATGGTGGTCGCAAGTACAGTTGATGAATGGCAGCAGACAAGCATCGCTCACAGTAGAGAGCAGCGACCAGTAAGAATAGTAAGAATAATAGGAGGTGCAACCTGCGAATCGGAAGGATAATTATGATGTATGGGATATGGGATATGGGATACAAGGGATATGCAAAAAGCGCTTGATTGATCAAATGCTAGATGAGAGCAGATAGATAGATAGATAGATAGATAAATGTGGTTGCAAGTAAGTAAGTAAGGTATAGGTAGCAGAAGAATGTACCTTGCTCACAGGATTGTGCAGATAAGGGAAAGAAAAGACGTTGTATAGATCTGGGCGAGGCCGAGTACTAATAAGGATATCCCAGGGAAACGGGCCAAGTCCCGGATGGAAGAATGGAACAGCCAGAGTACGTTATGTATGGGGGGGAAGGAGGCGAGGGCGACACGAAACGGCGGAATGGAGGGACCGTGGCTTTTTGCCATGCTATCAGATACTATTCTCAGTAGTATTACGGAGTACTCTTACTGCCCTGTGGAGGACCCCGAAAAGTGACACTAACGGTTAGGTTTGAGGCTAGAAAGTCCGAAGAAACACAGTGGAGCAGTCGTAGGCATGGAAGATGGAGAAGGGGATCGGTCAAAACGAATCCCTCCCGTGTCATTTGTTAACAGCTATCTAACTAGAGGAAATAGATGCTAATCATCGTCGGTCGGTTGGACGGACAGTTTCCTTGACTACAGAAGTAGGTATCGTCGTCGTCTATCTTCCAAGGCCAATAATCATAATCATGACGGCATTGAACCAGAGGGTGCACAACGCTGAGTGGTCCATGGAGGATATAAGATTCATGGTGGCATGGTCCAGACATAGGAAATTATCCCGAAATGATTATCATTTACATGGATTCAGCCATCTGCATCATGATCTTGAAGACAATAAATTGTGTCTCTCGAACACATTAGATTGATTTACGAGTCTTTGTTGGTGGCGGATCCCGAAACCAGCCATCGGAAGAAATACTCTTACAGTCTTACTGTCCTTGATCGAGAACGGCCTTTTACCGAGGGCCGCTCTCTTCTGGCTGATTTTCGGGATCTCTTAGCCTGGATTAATTTCTGTTAGTGTTCCTCCGTCCGGTTAAGCTGTTGACATTCATTCAGCATTCAGCGGACGGAAGATTGTAATCTAATTCTTCCTGATGAGCTCTTAAAGAGTACTGTGTCCTTCATTCCATATGGAGCTTCGCGTTTCATCCAAATAAGCGGTATGGCAGTATGGAGTATGCCCCGGTAGGTAGGATTCTGTTGGAAAGGCAGCAAATCATCGACGGGATGCGACATTCTGCCGACATCGCCGGGATCAGCAAGCCATCAACTGGCTAAGCGGCTATCTACCTACTCCGATGATCTTGCAGTAGAGTGTTCATCCTTGCAATCGCTTCGTAGTCATAATGACAAGTTTCGACGCTGAACATCCACACTACTGTTGACCGCTTCTTCCTGATTGTCATTCCCCTCTGTTTGGCGTCACTCCCTTTCAAGCTTTTATTCAACGCGAGTGGCAAGCCCGTGGGATAGGATTCTGACTTTAGGAGGAGCATGACTTGTTGCCCCTTCCGGCAATCCTCAGCACATCAGTTCGAACTCGTCCCCACTGTTACGTTGTGGATGATGGCGATGATGTTCCATCTCCAAATCTCCAACCGCCACCGTACACTGTTTTGGTGATGGTCGTTATGAGATGGATCCAGATTCCAATGGATAGACCGGTCAAGACTAATATGAAAACCGGCTCCTCTCATTGGATACTGCGCCGAGTTCCACATGCGACTGCGACCCACAGTGGCCAGCTTGACCGAGATGTCTCCTAACCCTGTGCGGAGTAGTTCACGAGTACCTAAGGTAGATACGGAGTAAAAGTCTCCATCCTTGGGAGGTATGGTATGTGCAGCACCACATCAACTGCTACATACTAAGATGCTTGTCAAAGATACTAGCCTCATGACAAACATTGACGACAAAATGATGCTGTAGGAAGATCCCTCTTCCTTGAATCACCCTCCTTATCGGTCTGGTCTGGTCTGGTTCCCGTTCCCAACCCATCGTCTGGCGGTGTGGTCACGAGCCCAGGAATCATTCCGCATACTACGACGGGTTGCTACCTTGCCTTACCTTGCCTATTGGGCGCTGCTACCTGGCCAAATCCTTCGTGGCGTCCAAATCAAAGAGTGGAAACCAATCAATCTTGCGAACGGTCCCGGTGGGGCTCTTGGCGTCGCCTTGGGATTGGAGGTTCCTTGGTCTTGTTATCGCAGAGAGCTGATTGGCTCAAGGAACTCAACACGTTCCCATTGGTCAGTGCCACCCTCTGCACGGACAGACCCCGAACCGCACTCTCCGGAATTCCCATCATCTTGGGCGAACGCCTTGAGATTATGTAACAGATTGGAGAGACAGGCCGCCTTTACTGCTTACTTTGCCGCAATAGGTTAGCGCTGCCATAGCGACCTCGGCTTGACTTGACTTTGATTACCTGGTATTATTATCTCTTGGTATCCTTTTATTTGATTTGGCTGTGACAGCTGACAGGCGATTTAACCACCAACCACAACTAGTACAAGAGTGTAATATTAATTGGCAAGAACCAATATTGTTGCGGGTCAAGTACGGAGATATCTCGCAGTCGCAGCGCACCGCACCGCGGCTATGTATCTGTCCAGGTCAATCATTCCGCTCACCGTTAAGCCGCTGCAGCTCACATGTAAGTCAGACATGCTTGACTTGCATTAAGCCCTGGTCCAGACTGGTCATCGAGTAGTGATATTGGTAATCAGAAACTGGGGATCGCTGGTATCTGATTAACAGACTACTACCTGACTATCGCCAAACTTCAAGTCACTGAGAATGGCTGGTAGTTGAAGATTAATAAGCAGATTCGAGGAGTCGCCTCAAAAAGCAAGGGGTTGGGTTGGTTGACAGATCCGCCCCCAGTTCCCAACAGGCAGCATAGTCACATGATAGGGAAATCTATTTTGCGGAGGTTGGATGTCAGGTGATGTAGTCAGGTGATCATGATAGGTTATGTGTGAACTGGAGCATCGAAAATATTCTTCAACTGATCCTCTTGGCAAGCTTGATGGCCAACAGCTGGGTTCCTTCTTCAACCGTTGCTCCTGTGCTCTACCAGACGCAAGTCCCAGGCACAGTTGCATTACCAGCAGCCGCGTATGTAAGCCTGTACAAGAGCGACAGGGGACGAAAGTAAACCAGGATTTGATGGACGGATCGAGCAGAGGATGCGTTGGTCCGGTTTCATGCGGGAGATGTAGTGGGTTGAGATGCCGAGGACTTGCGTTTCCTGTGCTGTTGGCTCTGGATTGTCTACTTGGACCTCAAGGGCGAGGATAAGGAGTATGGCCGGGCTCGAAGAGACTGCAGCATGGAGACGATGTCCGCGAAGGATACTGTGGATGAGGGAGCATGCTCGAGAAGGTCTAAGATGCGGTTCTCTTGTCAAGAGTTTTTGATGAGGCGGCCTAATCTCGTTCTGTTGGATCAGTAGCCGACGGTAAGTCCTGTCAGCTGTGTGTTTTCGATCACAGAAGCTTCAGAGAACTCCAGCTCCTTGGTGGCTTGTCTCAGATGGACTGAACGATTAACTTGCTGGTCCATGTATTTAGCCGTAATGCCGGCCATAGTTGGTTTTCGGACCAAGCTTCGAATGTCATTTGCGCGGCCATTGTGGACACACAGCGAGCCCTACTCAAGCAAACGATGTGCTCCTGATCACCAACGGTCTTGGTCTTTAACAAGCTTTGGGATGCGGTGGAATGTCGAAGCCCAACCGCGATGCCCATAACCAAAGACAGGAAATGACTCCAGACAGAATGGAATGGGTTTGTAGATCGTTTGCAGCTAGAAGATGAACTTGCCCGTTGGCAGCTGGCTCTCCCTCGCAAATGGCTGCTGTATCCGGGGCCAAAGCAGGCACGATAAGGTGAGCAGTCCTGCAATTTTGCTCGTTTGGATGCGCCGTGAACAGGCTGTCATGGATGAGGTTTCTTACTGTGGTAGCGGACCAGACACCGAATTTACGAAGCGACTCTTGTTGCGCAGCTCAGTGCATGCTGAAGGCGTAGAATGAGAGGTTAAGAGGCTAGAAAATCGAAAGAGAAGTACGCGAGATATAAAATATGGATGCTTACCAGAGCGAGCAACAACACACTAACTGTCTATAAGACGGGTTCACCCTCTGCCATCTTTCTACCACCTCACCTGCACTCAGTCGACTCGAAAAAGATCGCCGTCAACACTGCAGAGCCCTTTTGGGGCCCACCGACTTCGAAGGCCAAATCAGTATGCATCTTGTCCGTTTCTTCGTTTGCCAACCCCGACAAAGCTTCTGCGAGCCGGACTACGCGGTGACCAGATCCATCGCCGAGTTGATCAACAGTTTGACCAATGTCGTCTACAGTAAGCGACGCGGCAAGGTATTCGGAAGGAGTGTGCAACTAATTACTTTCATCAGTAATCTACGGCATCTACGGATTGCGCAAGCTGCGACAGAAAATGGCGGTCGGGCTCTGCTCGTTTGCATTCCATGTCAGCCTCAAGTACCACACCCAAATGAGTATGTCCCGCGTCTTTGCCACATCAGATAGCGTGGCCTAACTCGAGCGGACAGCGGTTTTCAACCCGGGGTATTGGCTCTGGCTGATTGATCAATGGGCCTGCGGCTTTTGTGTTAGAGCTTCCCGGGATACTAAGCCTAATAGCGAATTGGATCGCTGTCGTAGATCGCCTGACATTATATTCATGCAGAAGCAGAATACCAGTCGACAAATTATCATTAGATTAAGATGATATCAATGAACGATGATATAGTGAACCGCTGGCCAAATCCCTATCGATCAGGGATATACAGAAAAGAAAAGCAAAAAGCGAAAGGCTTGACCAGCATGATGAGATTGAAATCCTAACTGATTCAAAGATTAAGGCAGGCTCAGGCTCAGACCGCACCAAGCAGACGATGCTGTTCTCGTAAGAAAGCCACATCCTCACACAGCGCCGCATTCCGATCCTCCAGGGACTGTATACACTTGATAGCATTGGTGAGGATCTCACACTTTTTCATCGAGCATGACCGATTGGCAGGGACCTTTTGCTGGTGCCGACAACTCGTGATGACCTTTTCGAGGGTGGTAAACTTGGCGTTCATGTTGGTGCGGTACCGCTTCTCGATGATGTTGTGGGAGGCTCGTTTGGCGGCTTTGCGGCCCTTGGTCGTTTGAGAATCAGCAGATGAGGTTCCACTTTTCTTGAGGGTAGGGGTTGAGGAGGGCGATGGAGAAAGATGGTCCTGGGATGACCACGGTGGGGAGGTGCATGGAGCAGTGGTTGGGTTGTTGGAAAGTAGTAGATCGGAAGAGACGGCCGGATCCCTAAAGTCACTGCTGAAAGTCGGGAAGATGTCTTCTGGATCCAGCACCATATCGCTGGTGGAATTCGGGGGAACGGGGTTTGGCAACATGCTCCTCAGTTGAAATACATCCACGGATGCCATATCATCAGGTACTGGTAGGATGCCGGGGTATGCAGCCATACCGCAGCTCTGCTGAAGACTGTTGCTTTGAAGAGGCCAGAACGTCGGAGCCCTGGCTTTGCTATAATAAGTCATTGATGGAGTAGTCAGTAGTCAAGTAGAATAAGCTGTTTCTCGGAAATATTGATCTATGATGACTTTGAGCAGTAGGAGACATCATTCTGTTTTAAAGTGTTAGAATTCTATTATATGGACAATATATATGGACATAAACATCGCCACTAGAGTCTATTCTGCTTCATGACAGCATGTTTCATCGGCCAGCCTGGGGGGTTGATATTAACCAGGGATCTGCTGAATGATAACCAATAGTATTTGAGCAAGATCTACGGTATGGCATTTGATCGATGCAAAATAGGAGGACCCTGGGAAGAGGAAAAGCTATGTGATATAGACCAGGTCGGACGTAGTTCAAGTCTGGATAACATTATTTCAGAGCTTCCAGGAGCTGTAGCTGTAAGCCTAAGCGTCAGCTAAGAACTATGCAAGATTCCATGATGTTGACTGCACACCGTACAGACATTGTATGTTATAGTTGTCGCCCCTTGCGCCTAGGCCATGTCAATCGACACACCTAGATCCGCCAGGTGGAGTTCACGAGTCAGTTGGCTATCATCTAGGACACTTGTCTTTCCGCAATCGTGATTATCTTGTGCGTTAGAGAAGAGACAATCGAGTTGACGGAGACTGACCCAAACTATGATCCATCTTTTGTCGGAGATAAACGGTTGAAGCTGTCTCTGTTGCCCATCTCTCTTTTCCATGGATGGCCGTAACATGCCATCTGATGGACCATGGCCGGGAGAATCAGCCGTCCAAAGAGGGTCAGGATCCTGCGCTTAGGCCATCTGATGACTCAGCACTGGACGACTGGTTGTAGAAGTAGTAGTAGTAGGAGTAGAGTGGGATTTACTACGGACTACGGAGTACTGTCAGAGATAATCCTCCATGATACTCCATATAGTCAATCATTCTCCTTCAGTTCTATTGGCTAAACCAGCTGAAAGTATCGCCGTCAAAGGCTCAGAGCTACCATCTGATAACGTTTCCGAGGTACGTTCAAGCCACCTTTTCAGAATGACACTCACACTCACTCTTTACCTCAATGTGGCAGGACATATGGCCCTGTGAATGGTAGTACGGAGCTCCCGGCCGTCCTATTATTTCCCATTTGCACCGAGAACCAGCTCTTGTTGGAACAGCAGCATATCTCTGTAACATAACATACCATACCAGACTGCAGCATTCTATGAATCATTGAAGATGAGAAGAGAAGATCAGCTTGGTTGGATCTTTAGGTTAGATACGGAATGACTTGTAACCAGACAAGCTATATTGACAGCTCTACCTCAGATTTAAAAGCCCTGTAGCTCTCTGCATTGAATACGGCTACCAGTCAAGCGACTATTATGATATCTGCTTTTCAAGAAAATGACATGGAATTTCAGCTATCTTACCAAATGTCGACTCTTCACCCATCCTCCAAAGTCCAACTCTGGCGAATCCGAGAAACATTCCCTCGAGGCCGAATCAGCGCCTATTCCCATGCACGATGCCCACCAAGATAGCCCATTCCATGATGTCGACGGCCCTCCCATGCTTGCGTGTCATTCCTGGCCCCCAATCCCAATCAACAAGAACGAGGCCACGGCACACCTCGTCGAGTCTTGGGGAAGTAACCTTTCCCCTGTAGAGAAACAGCGGCTGCTCAAAGCATACGAGGAGTCATTCGACGATTATCGGACCGTCAAAAGGGAATTGGTGCAGACGTTTTCCAAAGAGCACGACCTGAAGCCTTGACGACCTCGGCAATAGAGCTGTGACATTGTTGACATGGCTGCAACCATCTCCGTGCCTCACAGTACAGGTTTCTGTATATAGATCTGAGTTAAAGCACTACCGCACGTGTATAGCTCGTGTATACTTGATCCAGTCGGTAATGAACATACTTTATTTTTCATTCGATATGCATTCCTTCTGTTACACAGGTGAGCATTACAGTAGCTCAGACCTAGCCTTTCTGAGGATAATTTTCACCATCCACCTGCCAATACACGGTAAGCCCATCAATCTACTATGGACATACTTAATGCATTACCTGCAGGGACAGCAGAATAGAGTATCCAGTGGCATGATGTCTCAGGTGAGGTCATGTCATTAATCCATCAGATCTAAGCGTCATCCCACAATCCAATTCCAACCCATCAACTCTGGGAGATGGAGCGTCTAACAGCGCCATGGCATAACCTTAAGTTTAAGCTTCCATACCAGGTATTTAACTAGATGACAGGATGACAGCATAGCAACATCGGAGCCACTCCCCAAATCAAGCATCCTTCCTACCTCTACTAACTCCAGATCTATCTACCAGTCATGCTCTCCACCGGAGTGACCGGCCCTCGCATCGCCATCGTCGGCGTAGGCCAGGTCGGCGCCGCCGCCGCAAACGCCCTGATCATGAACTCGGTCGCCCGCGAGCTCCTCCTCGTCGACATCAAAACCGACCTCCGCAACGCCCAGGTCCAGGAACTCTCGGACGTGAGCCGGATGAGCGGCCGCGCGGAGACGCGCGTGCGGGCCGCGACCTGCCACGAGGCCGGCCAGTGCGACATCGTCATCATCACCGCCGGGTCCAAGTACTCCGTCGGCGAGACCAGCGTGCAGCACATGTACCGCAACCTGGGCATCGTGCGCAGCGTGATCCCCGCAATGCGGCCCTTCCGGCCGGACGCGATCCTCCTCGTCGTCTCGAATCCCGTCGATCTGCTGACCACCGTCGCGCAGCAGCTCTCCGGTCTGCCCGCCTCGCAGGTCCTGGGGTCGGGGACCCTGCTGGACTCGGTGAGATTGCGGGGGCTGTTGGCTAACCAAGCTGGGGTGAGTACCAACCCAACCAACCGTGACCTGGCTGATATGGTATAAAGGTCGCCGCGGACGCCGCGGATATCTATGTGCTCGGGGTGCAGGGTGTCGGGGAGGTCGTGGCCTGGTCGACGGCCACGGTGGGAGGCCTGCCGCTGGCCTCTGCGGTGCCGGCCGACTCGTTCGATCCCGGCCAGCTCACGACCGACTGCAAGCAGATCTCCCAGGCCATCCTCCGGGCCAAGGGGTCCATGCCCCTTGGGATCGGGGCCATCATCGCCAAGATCTGCGCGTCCATCCTCAGCGACCAGCGCGATATCCTGCCCATCAGCCATTTCCAGGACGAGTTTGGGTGCTGTTTCAGTTTGCCGGTGGTCTTGGGACGCAAGGGGATTGTCCGGACGATTCGCATCGCCGTCAATGGGGAGGAGTGGGTTGGGATTACCAAGTCGGCCCGAGTGTTGAGCGAGACGATCGAGCATGTGAATGAGTGATTGTCTATTCTCTATCTATTACCGGCTACTGCAATCAATCGAACATAGTGGAATACTCAAACTGCGTCGATGAATGTAGTTACAATCTAAGGACATACATGAGCATGAATAAGACACGTTAGATCACAGACCATTAGACTGATTACGGTCAGCTTGAATCAGATGCCGCTTGACGGTCACGAAGCTGTCCGGACTGACCGAGATCGAATCGATTCCCGAGTCCACCAAGAACTGGGCGAACTCGGGATGATCGCTGGGAGCCTGGCCACAGATCCCAATCTTGCAGCCCTTCTGGCGCGCCACCGCAATCACCCGAGCAATCATCCACTTCACAGCCTCGTCCTGCTCGTTGAAGATGTGCGCCAGCTCGGCCGAGTCACGGTCCACCCCGAGGGTCAGCTGCGTCAGGTCGTTGGACCCGATGGAGAACCCGTCAAAGCAGTCGGCAAACTCGGCGGCCAGGATGACGTTGCTGGGGATCTCGCACATCACATACACCTGGAGGCCGTTGTCCCCGCGCCGCAGCCCGTTGGCCGCCAGCACGGCCAGCACCTGGCGCGCCTCGCCCACCGTGCGGCAGAAGGGAATCATCACGATGGCGTTGGTGAAGCCCATCTCGTCCCGCAGCCGCTTGATCGCCCGGCACTCCAGCGCGAAGCCCTCCCGGTAGCGCGGCGAGTAGTAGCGCGACGCGCCCCGGAAGCCGAGCATGGGGTTCTCCTCCTGGGGCTCGAACTCGGCGCCGCCGAGGAGCCCCGCGTACTCGTTGGTCTTGAAGTCGCTCAGGCGCAGGATGGCGGGCCGCGGGTAGACGGCGGCGCAGAGGGCCGCGAAGCCCTGCGCCAGCCGGTCCACGAAGTAGTCCGGGCGGTCGTGCTCGTAACCCGTCGTCAGCCGCGCAATCTCGGCTTGGGCGCCCGCATCCTGCAGCCGGTCGAAGTGGACCAGCGCCATGGGGTGCACGCGGATGGCGTTGCTGACGACGAACTCCATGCGCGCCAGCCCGATCCCGTCCGCGGGCAGCCGCCACCAGCGGAAGGCCGCCGCCGGGTTGGCCAGGTTGATCATCACCTGGGTCTTGACGGGCGGCAGGTCCGTCAGGTCCACGGTCTGGGTGGTGATCTCGGCGCGGCCCTCGTACACCAGGCCCGTGTCCCCCTCGGCGCACGAGACGGTGATCTCCTGGCCAGTGTGCAGCACGTACGTGGCATTGCCCGTGCCGACGACGGCGGGGAGGCCCAGCTCGCGACTGACGATGGCCGCGTGCGAGGTGCGCCCGCCGTGGTCCGTGACGATCGCGGCCGCCCGCTTCATGATGGGCACCCAGTCCGGGTCCGTGGTCGGCGTCACCAGGATCGACCCGTCGACGAACCGGTCCTGGTCGCGCGCCGACTCGATGAGGCAGACGCGCCCCGCGACGGCCGCCTCCCCGACGGACAGGCCCGTCGCCAGCACCCGGCCCTTGCCGCGGCCCACCCGGTACGTGTGGAGGCGGGCGGTGGCATCGCCGCGGCGCGAGTGCACCGTTTCGGGCCGCGCCTGCACGATGTACAGGGGCCCCGTGGCCCCATCCTTGGCCCATTCCATGTCCATGGGGCGCCCGTAGTGGCTCTCGATGGTGCACGCCCAGTGGGCGAGCTGGAGGATCTCCGCGTCGCCGAGAACGAACGCGGCGCGCTCGGCCTTGGACGTCGGCACGTTGTGGGTGGGCTGCTGCGGGTCGTCGCTGTAGATCATCTTGATGGCCTTGTCGCCTCGCGTCTTGCTGATGATGGGCCGCAGCCGGGGCTGGCCCAGCAGCGGCTTGAAGACCTGGTACTCGTCCGGGTTGACCGCGCCCTGCACGACGTTCTCGCCGAGCCCCCACGCGGCATTGATGAGGACGACGCGGTCGAACCCGCTCTCGGTGTCGATCGAGAACATGACGCCGGACCCGCCGCCGTCGGACCGCACCATGTGCTGCACGCCGACGGACAGCGCGATGCCCAGCTGGTCGAAGCCCTTGGTGGCACGGTAGCTGATGGCCCGGTCGGTGAAGAGCGAGGCGTAGCACCGCCGGCAGGCGTCCAGCACCGCCGTCTCCCCGGTGACATTGAGGTACGATTCGAGCTGCCCGGCGAAGCTGGCGTCCGGCAAGTCCTCCGCCGTGGCGCTCGAGCGGACTGCCACACTCGGGTCGGAGACGCCGACTCGCGTCGCCAGGGCGCGATAGGCGGCCCGGATGCTCGTGGCGGCATCGTCCGGCCAGCTGCCCCGAAGAAACAGCCGGCGCATTGCCCTGCCCGTCTCGGCCAGCGTTGTCTTTCCCGCTTGCCAGTCTGCGATCAGCCCGGCCAGCGTGTCCCGGATTCCGTTGGCGTCCACGTAGACCCAGTACGCCTGAGCCGTGGTGGCAAAGCCAGGAGGCACGGCGATTCCTTTTGCCCCAAGGGCGTTGATCATCTCACCCAGCGAGGCATTCTTGCCTCCCACGACGGCACCGTCCTGGAGTCGGACTTGCTCAAAGTCACGCACAAGATCATTGTTTGTTGCCATCTTATCTCTTAATCCTTCAGATAGAAAGTATCCGTGTATATCTCCATGATTCAAGAAGCCCTGCAGACTTGGACTGTAAATAGGCAGCTGCATCGGTTCCGGACATAGTCACCCCATACCCAACAGAAAGCCAAAGACTGGAACCCAATCGCCAAGTAGCTCTATCAGGCTCTGGTTCCATGGATGGACCAGATCCGCACTCGGCCGGTGTCAGGCAATCTCCAGGGTGAATCCATGGGAACTCGAAGATCAGGAGATTGATGACACCATTATTACCGTTGTTGATTCCCATGGTGCCAAGATCATAGTCTAGACAAGGGTAGTTCAAGGTGAGGGACAATACAATAAACTGTTTGGATAGGTTTCTTCAGACAAGCTGCAGAAGCCAGTTGCTCAAGGCTGGCTGCTGTGAGGGTCTCGGGACTCCTCATCCACTCTTCGAAGGTTATGAATGATTAATTCAGCAGGAATATACTTATAGTCGTTGGCATCTATACATAGACAGGTAGTAATACCAATAGATTCGTTTGTTATACAAAGATTAGCTACGAACTGGCAAGTAGAACATAAATCGCAACAAGAAAAGAATCAAAGAATCTTCATCGCGGCCTCTGTCAAATGCACCGACTCCAACTCCTGATCTTTAATGACCGAGATCAAGTAATTAGTCCCATAGTCCGAAACAGCCCGGACAACAACATTCTCCCCGTATCCACAGTCCTTCTCATCCGGCGCCGCCTCAGTATACTCCGCAAAGCTTTCCCGGGTGATATCATCCTCCTTGGAGAGAAGCACACTGCTCGCCAGATCTCTCGCCGCCTGGTACGTCCGGAACACCCCCTCGATGTTGATATCCTTGACCCGGCTGCCCTCATCCGCATCGTATTCGACATTGGCCTGGACGACATAGTACAGCGAGCTCTTTACCCTCCCGTCCACGACATCAGCTACCAGCTTCGGGTCCCTCGGCGTCGGAATGATATGGACTCGGAACTCGGTCCCATCCTCTGCAACCGCGTAGACGGCGAGGCCGGTGCGTTCGGGGAGATTGCTGGCCTCCAGGACCGCAGCTTTGGTTTCGTAGGTCTTGAACCACTCACGTTCATAGCCCGCGTCGAACAGGCACCGGTGGGCGGCTTCTTTGGCGGCTTGGAGAGAGGTGTAGGTGCCTGGAGCGCGGATTTTCTCGACTATGTTGCTGGGATTCTTTTTGATGTGGCTGGTGACCATGAGAATGTGGTAGAGTTGCTCTTCCATTTTTCTGTGAGGGCGGGATTGTAGTAACTATGCTCAAGACGATGTCTGACTAGTGTCGAACTGTGACCTAGATCTCATCTCTTTCTTGCAGGCATCTTATATCTTGGGTCGGACTGTGGCAAAGCGGTTGTTTGTGGGGACTGTGGCATGATTCAAGTCTATGACACTGAAGGACGATGCAATGTTGCTTGTTCAATCATGAACCTTAATCGACCGTATCCCCTTCTACTGATGACTGTTGCTAATGCGAGGGCTCGATTCAAAAAGAGTATAGTAGTTCTTGGATTGTTTAAATCACCATTTCATACAGTCCTATTCTCAGGTGAAGCTCAAGAACTAATATATCAATCGCCACATCCCGTCACATTTCCCACATATCAAAGACCATATCAGAACTTCGACACCACCTCACCGTTCCCATACTTCAACCATACGGTGGAGGCCCAAGGAGGCATCCTGCTAGGTGTCGACCTACTGAGGACCCCAGGTAGGCCACGGGGTATGAGTATGGCTAGTCTTCGTGGAGGACGTGGTGGTAGTGGCGGACGTGGTCGTGGTTCCGGTACCTGGTAGCGGAGGACATGCTGCAAGCCCCCCGGTGCAGTTGAGGGCGCAGTGTTCGACATAAGCAGCCGCGGCGCCGTTCTCCGTGCATCTCCAGAGGCCCGTGGTGTCGGGAATGTTCTGCCATCCTGCAGGTCAAGTCAGCAGCTGCAATGCATCACGCAGAGGTCTTTCCGGTGCTCATGCTCACCCAAGGTGTTGGCCAAGAACCAGCCGCAGTAGTTGTCCCCGGCATCGCAAGGTTGGGGGACTGCGCCGGCGGCGACGGCCAGACTGATGATAGCAAGGACGCGCATATTGGCTGGAAGCGTTAACGGTGGACTTGAAACTGAATGGTGTGAGGGCAGGATGTTGTGGGAATGGAACCATCTCTGTGCTGGTCTTTTCCTCCTTTTATACTATAGCCTCCTGCTGCTATACCGATGCAAACCATTCATGCCTAACGATGCGCAGCATGTTATAGACTATGCGACCGGAATGATTGAACACCCGTAAAAATGCTGTGCCATGCTCGTGCTCCCCCTGCATGGCATTCCGTAGTCATTTTGATTCTAGTGGATGGAACAAGAGTAGTAGTACTTATTCTGGGAACATAATCATTCCAATGAACCTTAGTATGTTGTAGTATCAGCCAGGCAACCTATTCCACACGCTCAGGCCATTCCTTTCAAGGGAAAACGAGGTTATGGCGGTCAAAGTTTCCATTCATCTAACGGGCCAGAAAGGGTCAACATTCCTCGGCTCCGGCCTCTGATCAGCTGTCAAAAGCGTCATTGACTTTCTGATCGCCATGATCCATGAATCGGATGTTCCGACGTCATGCCATCTCCGCTCCTCGTTTGACTGCCAGTTCACAGTTGATATCGCGGCATTTAGTCTGCATCAGGATCGACGCAATGTCGAGCACCAAATGCATCTTCCATACGCCAGAGAAGCAGCGCAGTGCGCATAATCACCAATTGAGCTCTCTAATTTCATCTAGTTGCAAAGAGTCTCAGAGGCGGGATGACTGAAGGTGACAGGTTGAAACTGGTCATCATCGGTGGCGCCAGAGGGGGAATGTCAGCAGCGGTTCGAGCACGGCGCCTGAACGAGAATGCGTCAATAATTGTTATCGAACGAGCCTCCTACATCAGTTACACGAATTCCTTTGTCCCCTTCAGCTTAGGCAGTGTCATTGAAAGGGATACACTGATTGCACTCCAAACCCCCGCAGGGCTAAGTGCTCGGTTCAACCTGGACGTGCGGGTTTGTACCGAGCTGGTCAGCATTTCAAGGGAGCATCATTCGATCACCGTGAGATGTCGGAAGAATGATACCACCTATGACTTACCGTATGATAAGATGATCCTCGCGCAAGGCGCTGATCCTGCCATTCCCCCTATTGCAGGTATAAGCAAAGCCAACGTGTTCGCGTTGCAGACGCTCGCTGATTTGCAGACAATCCGATCCTTTGTGGTGAGAAATGACTGCCGGGAGGTCGTCGTCCTGGGTGGAGCATTCGCAGGCCTCAAAGCCGTGGAAAGTCTGTATAGTTTCGGCCTACGCGTCAGCGTGGCAGAGGCCGGGGACCGCCTCTGCCCGGAATTCGATCCGGACTTTGCCAACATCGTTCAGAAAGAGCTCACAAAGAAAGGGGTCCAGATCCATCTCGGGTCGGAGTGTCGAATGATCGCAGAGGCAGATGCCAGCGACCTGTGCTACGTGGAGTTATGCGATGGCTCCAGCCTCTCCGCGGACCTAGTCGTCGTGGCCACGGAACCCGAACCTCGAGTCTGGCATGCTAGGAACGCGGGCCTTGAGGTCCGGAAAGGGATCGCGGTCAATGCGTTCATGCAGACAAGCGATCCTGACATCTACGCGGTGGGCAGTGTGGCCGAGGTTATGAACAGTATCTCCCACGTGCCGCAGGTGTCATCCATGAGCGGACCCTCGAATCGACAGGGCCACCTCGCAGCGGATCACATCTTCAACCGTGCGACGGCGTACCCTGGCACCTGTGGAACCCATGTCTACCACGTCTTCCACTTGACAGGGGCGATCACCGGGCTCTCTGTCTCCGATCTCCAGCGGATTGGGTACGACCCTCAATCCGTGACAATCCACCAGCCGGACCATGCTGGGTACTTCCCATCATCCCAGCAGCTGACGTTAAGAGTGGCCTTTGCACCAGCGAGTGGCGTCTTGCTGGGTGCTCAGATTGTCGGACATTCGGGCGTGGACAGTCGCATGGATGTGCTCGCGACAGCCATGCAGGCGGGGATGACCGTGTTCGACTTGGAGCATCTCGAACTGTCCCGTATGCCACAGTACGGCTCAGTCAAAGATCCAGTCAATCTGGCCGGCTCGGTGGGAAGTAATCTCCTACGCGGGGACCTTCATACAGTCCTTCCCCAAGACCTAAAAGGCCATCTGCATGAATGGCAGATTATTGATGTGCGGTCCGCGGAGCACTTTGCACAGGGCCATCTACCACTCGCTCGAAACATTCCTATCGACTCGCTACGGTCAAGGCTTGATGAAATTGAAAAGGAACGCCCGGTCCTGGTCTACTCGAGGGTAGGCTATCATGGCTACCTGGTCTACCGAATCCTAGTGCAGTCGGGCTATCGGGCCGCGAATCTTGACGGTGGATTGAAGTTGTTTACAGACGGTGGATATCAGCCAGAAGTGGTAGTCGGCGCGCAAGATAATAGCTCAACAGTGTAGTGGTCTAGTTTATGCTTTTCATAGCTTAGTTTAGGACTGATTATTGACAATGAAGTCGCGGCCCAGGCATGATCACCTAATTCTGTCATCATACGGCCAACCATGAAGGCTTGAATACAGCCAGTAGACTAATCTAGACTGTTCCAGCCAAATAACTGTATCTTTCAGCTTTACCATTGGTACGAGTTCCTGTGGCGAGGATTAAGCTTCACCTCCAGGTTAAGCTTAATGGCTGCACTATGGTAGTTGATGAATGCGGACAGCTAGGCAGTTGGTACCAAACATCTTCATGAGATCTCATGACCGGACTTTCAGCATCCAACCTTGGGATTACATCACGGATGTATGTTGGATCATTCAATCCTTTGTCTGCGCTGATCCTTCCCTGCCAGCCGGCAAAGAAATCAAAACCTGGGTCCCAGATGCCCTTCATTTCAGAAGAGCGATTCAAAACACGCGGGTCCGGGATATGGAAATTGAGATCCCCGTAAGATCAAATCCTTTTGTTTCTATTTTATTCTATTTTTTATGGTATCATTCGGCTGCTAAATGTACATGCAGCTCCCCCAACATCCCAACGACCCCGATAAACCCGACTTCAGCATTGTCCAACGCGCCTGGTGGGAAGCAATCATCAAGGCGTACGAACACACAGACACATGCCCCATGCGCATGCCCCTCGAGATGCGCATCATGGGCGGCAGTAACGTGCTGATGGCGCCGCAGCGCGGGAATCACCTCGGAACATGCTCCATCGAGGTCCTGACGCTTCAATCGGTAACCCCGTATTGGGATACATTTGCGCAGGAGGTCCTGGACAAGTGGATGGAGTTGAGAGAATGGAACGGGCAAAGGCTCAACATTAGGCCCCATTGGGCTAAAGAATGGTGGGTTGATAGACCCTAAACAGCCTAGGTTTAGGTTGATTTCATTTCGGGATATTTGTCTAACGGTATTTGTTATACAGGCAACAATTCAAAGTGGATGGCAGGCCCTTCCGCGAGTATCTCAAGACGGAGTGCTATGGCGACGCTATCCGCCAATTTAATAGTGTACTTGCGAAGATTGGTCAAAAGCAGGGCTGGCAAAGGCAAGATCTGAAGAGGATGTTCTCGAATGATCTGTTTGATGAACTTGTGTTTGAGGATATTGATCTTTAGGATATGCTATATGTTAGTTAGTTTCTCTGGGAGATCTCATTTACATCATCTTGTACAACCTCCTCTTTATCTTGTCAACATCAGAATGATTTACCTAGGGTTCAGGACTGCGTCAGTGCTATTCACATCATATATGGATGCTTTTTCCGCAGGGAGAGTATTCCTAAGGAGAAATAGCTCAGGTAAATAATCCAGTCAACGCAGCGACCAACCCGATAGGGATTCATGTTGACGAATATAAAAAGACCACTCATAAAATCCTGTGTGACAAGCATTATACTCAGGAAGTAAGCGTCCTCGCAACCACAGCCAACTCACACTCTTCAACGCTCATCTAAAAACACAGGAATGGGTTAATGCTTGACTTGATTCCGACGGAAACAGCTTCAAGAGCCCATCGCAGTCCTCGTCCATTATGCTCCACTACTACCTTCGCTCATGCACCACCTGTCGAGCTTCAGAATGTAAACTGCGGAACGTGGATCGTGCTAACAGTCCAGGTCTTGCCGCCATCGGCAGTCGTCATGTCGCCAGTGACGCCCTGGCCCTTGCCCAAGGTGTCTTTGTAGTTCGGATCCGCGACATCCAGAATAATCTTGGTGTCAATCCACGCTAGTGGTACAATGCATGTTAGCCAGAGACTGCTGAACATCAAAGCTGTCTAGTAAACTTACAGTGAGCACCGACAGTGCCGCAGTCGGTTGCGGCGCACTCCACGGCACTACCCCAGCCCTGGGCATGTCCGTCACTGGTAGTCAGTGTCGAAACGGTCTTTCCGTTGAGGAGGACCGTCTGCGTGTACTTGCGAGTAGCATCATTGTACTCGTCTAAGTATGTTTCAGTTGGGCGAGTTCAGAGAGGCGGGGATGTTCTTGTTCCTTACAGTGCATCGTGACGTGGTCGCCGGCTTTAGCGACGGCACTCTTCCCCTGTACAGGCCTCTGCGAGTTATCTAGGTGGGTTATGTGTCAGTGTCGTATATAGTATGTTAGGAGCATGTCATAAAAGATCTACCGACCTCCGGTTTTCAGGAGCGTGTAGGCAAAGACATTCCAGTCGCTCGATTGATACTTGTCGGCGATGGATTGGATCAAGTCACCGTTGGAGGTGCCCATGCCGACCCAAAGAGAAAGGTCTCCGTTGTTTCCTTTGACAGTCTGAGGCAGCACGAGTGTGGAGGATGCCTCGCGGATGAACGAGTTGGAAGCAACGGGACCAGTGCTAAAGGCAGGACCCATAGCTGCATCCACAGCTGTAAAGGCCGCTGCGGTGAGGGTAGCGGAGAGAAGCTGGCTTAGGGAAGGCATTGTAGCGGTGATAGGAAGTATTCAGAGTATATGGCTGTCAAGTTTGACGCGGTCTATGTAACCTTGCTCTCACCTTGCTGGAAGAACAGCAAGCCTTTTATACCCTCGCCTTTGGCGACTCCCTTGATCTCAAGATCAGTTCTCCTAACCCGGAGTCCTCGGATCTACTCTCGTCGTACTGTGTCAGGATACGAGATATACGAAATCCATATGTTCTGACAGGCATCTCCATCATTAATGAACTGGGTTGTGAGACATCGATCAAGTCGAAACAACCTGAGACAGGGGTGTTGGGAATAAAAACACCAATAGGTGGATTTATGGCCCTCTAGCTCATTTTCAACACACATGTTCTCCCTGAATGAGACACTATGATTATTTTGAGGAAAGTCATGTTAACCCTTTCCAGATCACCCCTGGGCTGCATACTCGTTGAACGGGAACCCGAAGAGGAAAGCCCTAAAGACACTGTGGTTTGAATTCCTCAGTCAAGCATCTCCCCTGCTATGAGACTGGATGTAGGAGTAAATATGAGGTCTATTTTAAGAATACTGCAAAAACCTGTGAGCCAATGTATGCTCTTGAATATGCTATATCCCTAACTTTAAAATGATGGCTAACAGGGACAAGATATTTTAACCAACGGGTGGATGGAAGTGGAGCCTATCTTGACAACTATCATTAACATTCCCGGAGTCTTTCCGGGTTATCGCTCATAAGACAGGCTAAAACGCTTATGAATGCTTAGAAAACCAGCAGCTACTCATAACAATTGCACTGCCAACTGCCAAACCTCGATCTCCAAGGGTTTAAGCCACTAAAGTCATTACAGTTAGGGTGAGTGAGATCTGCGGGGATGGGGCCTTAGAATGAAGTTCTACTACTACGTCATCCACTCAGCGTCTCAACACGAACACATCATGCCATCTTACAGCTTACCCCTCAGAAGAGAGTACTCTACAGTCTCTCCTAATCCAGCTTCTTGAGTCGAATCAAAAGAAACGAAAATGAAGCTGGCAGTCTTTAGCGCTAAGTCCTATGATAAGCTCTTCCTCGATAGCGCCCTCGAGAAAGACTACGCATCCTTGTGCGAAATCGTCTATCACTCGTTCGCTCTATCTTCAGAGACCGTCTCACTAGCCAAAGGCAGCGATGCAGTCTGCGCCTTTGTAAACGACACACTGGACGTCAGTGTCCTCAAATCCCTCCACGCATACGGCATCCGTGCAATCCTCCTGCGCTGTGCCGGCTTCAACAACGTCGACCTGCAAGCCGCAGAGGAGCTGGGCCTCTTCGTCGCCAACGTCCCCTCGTACTCCCCCGAAGCGGTGGCCGAATTCGCCGTGGCGCTGATCCAGACCCTGAACCGCAAGACCCACCGTGCGTACAACCGGGTGCGGGAGGGGAATTTCAATCTCGAGGGGTTCCTGGGCCGTACGCTGCACGGGAAGACGGTGGGGATCGTGGGTGTTGGTCGCATTGGGCTGGCGCTGGCGAAGATCTTCCATGGGTTTGGGTGCAAGCTGCTGGCGTATGATCCGTTCGGAGGGGAGGAGTTTCGAAAGTACGGCGAGTTCACCGAATTGCAGAAGTTGCTGTCGCAGAGCGATGTGGTCAGCCTCCACTGTCCTCTTACGGAGGACACACGGCATATCATCAATGATGAGACGCTGGCGCAGATGAAGAAGGGCGCGCTGCTGGTGAATACCTCCCGTGGAGGGTTGATCAACACCATGGCTGCGATCCGGGCGCTCAAAGCGGGCCAGCTGGGGGGCCTGGCGCTGGACGTGTACGAGGAGGAGGGCTCGCTGTTCTACAACGATCATTCTGCGGAGATTATCCATGACGACACGTTGATGCGACTGATGACGTTTCCCAATGTTCTTGTCTGCGGACACCAGGCGTTTTTCACGCGGGAGGCCCTGAGTGAGATCGCGGGTGTCACGCTGGGTAATCTGCAGGATTTTGCGTTGAAACGGACATGCAAGAACTCGTTGGTGCGCGAAGGCCATCTGCTGGTCAGGCGGGATACAGAGCCTGTTCGTTTATGAGCTAAGGGTGTCGCTTCGAACACTTGGGTATTTCGCATTTTGGGTCTATGGAAAGAACCTATTCATATCAAGCATGATGGCTTCGTTTCTCATTACGTACACTTCGTCCCTGCAAGACCGGCCAGGCCGCAGATATATGCCAGCCCTCTTGGAATGACTCGGCTGCCATGAATGATCAACGGGACAACCGAGATCATCCACATAAAGCACACCAATCCCAGAGCAGCAATAAGTCGGAGTCGCTCAACCAGGGCGTAAACGGTTCTGTCTTTGACTTTTTCGTAAGCAGCACGCCATCGACTGTGGCCTGCCATTGAAACTCGTTTTTCATGCTCTCTTTGCTCAACCGCATTTGCCATCTGCCAGGCCACCCTTCGGTTAATCTTCTCCCACGTCGTATCTTCCGCATATGCTCGGGCAGCCACAGCCAGGGACGACAAAAGCTGTGAGTCGAGCGATACCTGCCGCACCAGAGCCACAAACTGCTCCACGTCATTTGGAGGGACCAAGTACCCAGTCTCCTGATGGCGTACAATATCCGATGGGCCACCCTGGTCCCGTGCGATAACAGGCAGCCCGCTGGCCATCGCCTCCAGTACCACCAACCCGAAAGTCTCGGTAATAGAGCAGTGCAGGAAAAGATCTCCCGAAGCATATGCGCGAGCCAGTGATTCTCCGGTCAAGAAGCCTGTGAATACAACATGGTCTCTGACATGATCAAAGAGACGGTGAATGCGGCTTTCGACGACGGGATTGCGGTTTCCCCCGACAATCAAAAGCTTGAACGGTAGCTTCTCTTTCACGAGTTTGGCGGCTGCCACGGCCAGGAACTCGAATCCTTTCTCTGGAGCTAGTCGGCACACGCAGACAAGGATGATTTCTCCATCCGGCGCAATCTCCTTCCGATAGGCCTCGTCGCGCCGAGAGGGATTGAACAGGGTGGTATCGACGCCTCGTCCCAGTTTGACGGCTCGTGCGACGGGCGCGCCAGCCTTCTTCAGATAGTCTAGGATGCATGACGATGGGTAGAAGATGGTATGCACAGCGGGATCGCTGAAAAGGAAGCCTTGCACTGTTGCCAGCAACCAAACAGCCCACCGACTCAGGGGGCCCGGGAAGATGATCTCACTGTATGCTGACAGGTCGGTCTGGAAGTTCAGAAGCACAACGGGTGGTTTCCGAAGCTGTCGCATATACAATAGTAACTGGAAACCTAAGGATGCCGGACTCGCCACATAGACAATATCCGGCTGGGTGGTCGGCTTGTAGACATCTTTCAGGCGGAACGGGTACACCAGAGTCAGATCAGGGTTGTATGGGAGAGGATACCCTGGAAGTCGCAAATTCGCCACTTGTTGCTGGGGCTGTTGGGCGCCTTCGAATTGAGGTGCCACCACGACCAGGTCTACCCCATTGCGACGAAGATATTCGATCAGACTGCCTGTTGTTCGACTGACTCCGTTGACAGGACCAAGCGATTCAGTGGTCAACAGCACCTTCTTCCCTTTCAGAGAGGGTGGAAAGCTCTCTTTATCCATTTATATCTAATGAAAGTACTGCGCAAGAAAGGCCGTGATAATATTCTGTAGAGCAGTAACCCACAGACCAGAGCCAGACCAGCCCGCATAAAAAGCCATGATGCCAGCTGTATGTAGTAACCCAAACCAGTATTTCCATCAAAGTCAAAAGCTGCAATCCATCGGCGATCACAGCAGATAAGCAAGTGAAGCCAGAGCGCAAAGCTTCGTGTAGGAGGCCGCGGTGGCTGCACGTGGGCCGCCTCTTTGTCGCCCGTCCGCTGCGAGACTCTCCCCTCTCCCAACCAGTGGCAGTCCGCCATTCCCCCCGCGTGCATCCAGCAGTCAAGCTCTTTGGGGATCCATGCGATCGACTCGACCGTCCACTAGACACTCTCAACCTTTGGTCATTATTGCTCTACACTACCGTCTCCAGCGCTAGGAGGATGGCTGCAACGATCACAAGGCACGCGGGGGCCTTTCTGTTTCGCCCCTCGGCGGAGGGGAGGGGGGTTCGATAAGGGTGAAGTCGGGAGGCAAAAGTCTATAAACGCTGTGCGCCCGTTTCTGCGGTGAATTTATGGGCTTTGATGATGGTTGAAGAGAGAAAAGTCATGATTGAACTGGCCAGAGGAACTCAAGCAGTCGCAATGGATCTACCGTCGTCTCCTGCAGGAACCTCAGATGCGAGCTCATACGATGGCTCCACGCGTCCTACGACCCCTTCTTCAAGTCCGCTGTTTTGTGCTTCTAGAATGGAGGATCTGGCTCTGTCAAGCTTCATGCACTCCCCTGGCTCTGCTTCCCTACAAAGCTTTCCGGCCTGGGGACAAGTGAAAAACATCTGCGTTGTGGGCGCTGGATATGTCGGTATGCTCGTGTTATAGTGTCTCACTCTCTCAGTATGCAAGGACTCATCGTTGCAGGTGGGCCAACCGCAGCCGTTCTTGCGCTGTTCAACCCGTCGATAGCAGTCGAAGTCTTGGACCGAGACCCGGTTCGCATTCGGAAGTGGAAGTCACCGCACCTTCCTGTACATGAACCTGGCCTGGTTGACGTCGTCCGAGTGACAAGAGATGGAGCGGAGATTGTCAACAATGATACTGCGTCCCATATCAATGCGACGCGGTTGAAGCGGCGCGCGAACCTTTTCTTCACAAGTGACTCGGTGGCAAGTATCTCACGGGCAGATATGGTCATGCTTGCGGTCAACACACCCACCAAGACGTTTGGTCTGGGCTCTGGTCGAGCTACGAACATGGCAGCTATTGATGAAGCTGTGCGGCAGATAGCCATCTATGCGAAACCAGGCACAATCATCGTCGAGAAGAGCACAGTTCCTTGTGGCACTGCGCAGCGGATTCGAAATATGGTACGTACTCGTTCGACCCTAATCTTGCTATGCTCGGCATACCTGCTCTTCATTCATCATAATCTGACGATGTGATAGCTGGCCACCCTAAGACCCGGCGTGCCGTTCGAGGTGCTGTCGAACCCCGAATTCCTGTCCGAAGGCTCCGCTATTGAGAACCTCATCTCACCCGATCGTGTTCTCATCGGATCATCTGGAACACCATCCGGACGCCACGCAGCGCGCACCCTTGCACAAATCTACTCATCTTGGGTGCCCTCCTCGCGCATCCTCGAAGTCAATGCATGGTCATCAGAACTCGCAAAGCTTGTAGCCAACGCCATGCTCGCTCAACGAATCAGCAGCATCAACTCGATCAGTGCTATCTGCGAGAAAACAGGAGCCGAGGCTGATCAAGTAGCTCAAGCTATCGGTCTTGATGCCCGAATCGGATCTCAATTCCTCAAAGCCGGACTCGGGTTCGGCGGCTCCTGCTTCCGCAAGGATATAGCCAGCCTGACGTATCTAGCTGAGTCCTTGGGCTTGGAAGATGTGGCTCACTATTGGAGCCAAGTCAACGTGATGAATGAGATGCAGCGCAACCGGTTCGCTAGGAAAGTCATCGAGAGATTCGACGGTAACTTGACCGGACGAAAGATCGCCCTGCTTGGGTTCGCCTTTAAGAAGAACACCGGCGACACACGAGAGTCCTTAGCAGCGGACGTGATTCGGCTGCTGCTGGAAGAGAAGCCCATGGAGATTGCTGTGTTTGATCCCTTCTGCCTTGAAAAGGACATCATGCGGGAGGTTGAATACGCCTGCGGCTCCTTGCTGGATTCTTCCAGCAACGGGAGGGTCGTCAAAATTTTTCCCGATCCGTACCAAGCTTGTTCTCAGGCCGACGCGGTTCTCATCATCTCAGATTGTGACCAGTTTCGGAATATGCCAACCAAATCGAAGCCAACTGCTTTTGCGCCGCGGGCAGAGATCAAGGTTGTTGGTTCTCTTCCCAAGGCCATAACGCCCAAAGATCCAGAGGATGACATCTGGCTATGCAACGGCCTGTCATACCGCTTGTCGCCGCAAGATGTGTGCGAGGATGACTGTGAAGCATGTCGTTCAACAGCCAGCCATCCCACTGCCACCGAGCCTGTAGAATGGGCACGCATCGCATACAACATGAAGGCACCGAAACTGGTCATCGATGGACGCGGAATACTGGATGTTCAAGAGATGGAAAGACTCGGTGTCCATGTGGATGCCGTTGGAAGACGACCGGCGGACATCTCAGCTGGCATTGACCCTTTGAACTGTGACATCTAGCACTGAATTTTTTTCAGGAAGGCTTGTTGCAAATTTGATACCCCTCGTTATCTTGCGTTCTTTATGTGCACGTCCCTCTTTTTGCATACAGCAGCTTCAACGCTTAACATCTAGACTGAATTTAATACTTTGGCGCTTACTTCGGCGTCTGCTATAGAGGCCAGTAGTGATGATGAACTTGACAATTGACTGTATTGATATATTTACTACCGGTGGCATTCCTTTGTTCCAGCGGCAAATGCTTCCATCTCCGACTACCAGAGCGGTTTACTACAAGCATAAGTCGAGCTCGGTACAAACATAAAGTCATGATATACAGCAAAACACGAAAATAAAGATATTTAGCCTGAAATGACACGGACCCAGAAGATCTCCCAATCATGCATAAGCGCTGAACGATCCATCTATCTCTTCTACCTTCGCAACAGCCCGCTTGTACCCATCCATCACCTGCAATTTGTCCGTGTAGTCCGCCAACTTCGGGTACTGGACCCGGAGATCAGGCATTTTAATCAAGGACGCAATAACAGGGAAGCTCATCATGATATCAGCAGCACTCAGCTCCCTGCCGCACAGGTAAGGGCCACCCCCCGGCGCGGTCTTCAGCTGCTCCTCGAGGAACTTAAAGTGGGAGGTCAAGTTGGGCGCGACGAACGCCTGCTCCACCTTTGACGCGACCATGCCGGTCAACGGCTTGACGAAGAACGGGACGGGGGCGTTCCTGATGCCTGGGCCGCGTCAGACATCCCTTTATCAACCCGCACCCGCACCTCTAAACATGGAACTGGACGGGAAAAGAACACTCACTATCCATCACCAACTGCATCACTAGGAACGGCATGAAGCTGCCCTCCGTGTAATGCATGTAGTACCGGTACCGCATCCACTCCTCGGTTTCCCCGCCCGGCTGGTCCTCCTTGCCGGCAACATAGCGCCGGGGGACGAGCTTGTCGCCCCCGAAATGATCGCATAGATACTCCATGATCAGCCCGGACTCGGCGAGAACCAGCGGCTTGGGGGAGCTGGGTGTCTCGATGCTGAGAAGCGGGGATTTGCCTAGCGGGTGGACGTCCTTGAGCTCCTTTGGGGCCAGCATGTCGCGGCCGCGCTTGAAGGTCTTGAGCTCGTAGGTGAGGTTGAGTTCCTCGAGGAGCCAGAGGATGCGCTGTGCGCGGGAATGTTCCAGCCTGTGTTGGCCTATTAGTTTGTGCTCACGATGATTAGGTGCAGAACGTACCAGTAGAGGGTGATTTTGGCGCCTTTGTTTGCGTCTGCCATGTTTGCAGTCTGGTTAGTGGTCTGGATTTAGATGTACAGCTAAGGTCTAAGTCGAGTGATGCTTTTCTACACGAAAGCTGATCCTGTTGACACAATGCTGGACAAGGAGGACCGGTCGAAAGCCTAGCCGCTACTCTTATCTTTTATTTACGCTGTGTCTTAGATAACCACGGCATGTTTCATGAATAACCGCAAAGTTGGAGCTCAACCTCGGATGAATCCGTTGGCCGAACACCCCGTGAAAGTTGGCGTCATCGCTGATCTGTGGGCCGATTCAGATCAATAGTCGTTGTACAAATAGCCGATTTTCAGGTGATAAAGCTGGTATGAGCTTCTAAAATCAGCCGAGTCAGTAGCTGTCGTTCTTGACAAAGATGATTTGTAGCTCCCATTTCGCTCTGGTTATTGTGAGCGGTGGCAGAGAGGAAACCTTGACTTGGCGGTCGATGCCAGCGATCTCAGGCATCAACCCTGCTTTATGCTGACTCATCACGCCAAGGCTCAGGTGACCATCCACTTGAACTTCATGGATATCATCACCATCACCATCAGATGAGTATTCTCGGCCTCGCCTGAAATTGCTAGCATCGCAACCATGGCCGGCCCTAGCAAGTGTAAGTGATTTCTCCGAAAGTGACAAATTGATAAGATGCTGATCAATTGCTCCGCAGCCCTGGTCCTTGACCCGGCCCTCCAGAAATATTACGGTACATCTCTCCGTCCTGCACCCTCCAGCCCATCGAAAAGATAGCTTGAATGCGCGTTCGATTACTTGGCAACGTTCGCGAGGAATTACTATGTCGAAGACTAATGCTGTGCAGAACTCACCGCAAACCGCTACAAGTACTTCCGCTGGACCCCGCGCCATGCCTGGCTGTCTTTCATCTACATGATTGCGATCCCTGGCACATTGGGCTACATTGCATACAAGACCGATGTATGCCCTCCTTGCGAAGCTACAAAAATTGGAAAAGTGGAGAGAATGCTGATCAACTGACTCGGAATAGGGCAAATACGAATTCCGCGGAAAGAGGAAAGGCGATTCCATTCTCGAATACTAGGCTGTCCGTTGATTTGAGTTGAGTGGAGGTGACCTATTCACGATTGTATTTCCGCGAGGTCCGAGGGTATGGAAAAGGCGGGTACGAGATGAGTTGTGCGCCTACCCGCCGGCCGTGTACCTACTACTAGAATATACCGCATCGAGTTTCGCTTTCTTGTTCAATGGGTCCCTCTCGCACCACTCGGCTCCTTTCTCTGGACCGATTGGTATCATTCGCAGTTGCCTAGATGCAGACATGAAGCACGCAGCTTATAATTGAACCGCGCGTGAAAGGCAATGAACGCAGCTGTCAATTGCTTGGTATCAACAACATGCACGTCCCCGGAACTGTAAATTCGAACTGATTTTCCTACCGTAAACTCCATGAAAGCTTTAAAGATACAACTCAGAGCACGTCTTAGTACGGCGCCCACCCCCTTCTCCCAGATCCTCCGCCAAAATTGCGCCCTCCTCCATCCGGTAGCCTCTCACCACGCCTCCAATCACCAGAGGGTATCCCCCGATCACCTCTCCCCCGACCGGGTCGCGCAAACCCCGTATCACGGAACGCCCTCATGCCTCCTCCAACGGTACCACTCACTGGGCCCCGCCCCGTAATAAGCGGCGGAGCAACAGAGCCGTCCTCAAGCGGCGGGAGGATGGCGCAATCCACGTAGTCCCCAATCACGAAACGCATGTCCTGCAGTGTCTTGTCCGCATCGTTACCCTGGAGCCGGAGCGCACGGGGCCCCGCCGCAGCACTGCTCCCGTTCTCCTCGTCATGCTCGCCCCGGTAGGGACTGTCCTTGGGTCCAACGACCACACTGCCCATGTCCTTGCTCAGGTATCGCCCTCGCGCGTCTCCGCCCATTGTCGCGGCGCCCTTGGTGTCCGGGTAGATCAGTCGGAAGCAGATACGTGTCCCGACGGCGGGATCGGGCAGAAGCGATGGTAAGGCCGAGGTGAGGAGCTGCGTTAATTCCCGTAACGTGCAGGACTGCCAGGTGTAGATCTCGAGGTGCGCGGGGAGTCGCGGTGCTGGGAGAGGGGAGCGAGCTCGAATCGCATTGGGACCGCTGGTCGGCCCACTGTAGGAAGATGATGACGAGGGAATGGCAAAGTCGGATAGTTGGTGGAAGGCGTTCACGCGGTAGAAGAGCTTAAGGTGGAACGGCGTGGTCGTTTGACGGTCGATCTGCGGTTTGGGCGCATCTCGAGGTGCAGCCATTATGGCGAAAGCGGCACGCGATGCGTTGAGAAGGTAAGATACGACGCTCTCAAATGTAGTAGAGCAGGTAGTTTGGTTTCAATCGTGCGGGTGCAAGCTGGCGACGTTGGTGGTTGAAGTGTTGCCTTGTCACGAGAGCGAGAGCTATCCGGCGCAGGAAAAGAAGCTCACCCGCCGAGCCTGGCCGCTTGCACCACCGCTGCTTCAAGATCACTTTAACACCTCCTGCGGTTCTCTTTTTCGCTACATCTTTATAATAACTTTACAAAGCCTAAATCAGCGGCTCGCTGAGCCTCATTAAAACTTCAGCCATGGATTTCGCATCTTTAATGGCCAAGGAAATCTCCAAAGCCAAAAGTCCCGCCACGCCCAGCTCAACATCATCAGGATCAGAGCAAAAAGAACCCACCAAAGTCCCAGAAAAGAAATACGTCCGACGCTCCGAACTCGAAGCCGCCAGGATCGCCGCCTACAATGCAGAACAGGAGCGCCTACAACGCGAACGCGAGGAGCGCCAGGCTCAGAAACGCAAACACGAAGAAGAAGAGGCAGAGCGGCGACGCGAACGCGAAGAGAAGAAACGGCGATTAGCCGAGGAGTCCCGGAAGAAGCGAGAGGAGGAAGAGGCAGCAAAAGAGCGAGAGCGCAGGAAGAGACTGGGTCTACCTGAACTGCCACCCGCCGGCGAGAAGGACGAGTCGACTCTCGGAGATGAAGAGGACATACCGGACGAGGAGCTGAACCAGAAACTTCGCGACCTCAAGGAGCCTATCTGTCTGTTTGGAGAGAACCATGTCGCCCGACTGCGGCGATACCGCCGTCTCGTGCGTCGGTCGATGACACCTCAGCCGAAGCTGACGGACGGGCCTATCCCGACTACCTTGGAACCTGTATCGGAGGTGGACATGAAGATTCCAACCGCTCTCCCTAAGGACGCAGACGCCCGCAAGTTCTTGTTCCGGCAGTTGGCCTCGTACTTCAACATGGTGCTGCTGGAGTGGGAGCGTGCTCTCGCAAGACGGGATATCTCGGTTAAGCAGAGTCTTACCGGTCGCCAGGCCTACAATGCGATGGTTCAGTCGAGGGAGAATTTGAAGCCGCTCTTCCGGAAGTTCGAGAAGAATGACGTAGACAATAGCCTGTTGGAGCCCATCATGGAGATCGTGCACAAGGCTCAATTGAGGAGATATGTTGATGCCAATGACGCATATCTACGTGTGAGTATTGGGAAAGCGTAAGTGAACCTCTACCTCTGCATCTAGCCTCTATTCTAACAATCTGGTCCAGAGCTTGGCCCATTGGTGTGACTATGGTTGGTATCCACGAGCGATCAGCCCGAGAAAAGCTGCACCAGAGTGATCAACAGGCACACATTCTCAGTGATGAAATCACCCGAAAGTTCTTGCAGAGTATCAAGCGCTGCTTAAGCTTTGCGCAGACCCGCTGGCCTCCAGATGATCAGTTGCAGATTATGGGTTAGTGATGGATGTAGTTGAGGTGAAGACTTTGCCAACCTAGTAATGATAACGATAATATACCCTGTAAAGCGAGGACCTTTTAGTTCCTGTTTGTTACTTTTTTTTTTTTTTTTTTTTTGATATGTGTCTTGTACACTCTGCCCTCCCCATGACCTCCAGTATAAGAATGTCATCTCTACTAACTTCTTCTTCCCCCCTAATACCCTCTAATATTCTGCACTCATCCAGTCGCTGCTGTCAGTTCAACTGCCTGTATAGCTACTACTAAACCCCGGTAAGCAGTAAATTATATGAACAGAACCTCTTTACCAGAGACACGCCCGGCCTAGCGCCCCCGATCTGATGCAGCAGGGTTTTGAGTACTAGGCGTGAGAAAATCAAATTAACGTGGACCGAATGCAACTCTACCCCTGTGAACATTAGGTGAGGTCTGGGGGATAGAACGCCGTCAATCTACATCATCATGTTGCCAATGTGCAAGCCTGCTGTGATGCAGATGGAGGTATGTATTCCTGGTGCTAACCTGCACCCCTACTATGTACTTAGCGGTATCCTTACTGCTGGATGGCAGAGCATTCAGAAGAAGCTAGACATCGTGGTACTGCATATGTCAGTATTAAAGCAGAGTAATTATCTGAAGCTACTGCCAAATGCTAGAAGAAGCAAGCAAGTGGTTCAGTGCGCCTGAGTATTACGCGGGAGATTCTGGACGGCGAGTGCATTGATTTCTTCGCTGCCACGCGGGAGCATAAGCTGACGCTATAGAGGAGGCTATGACTGATTGGTGAGTTCATACTCCTTGATCTGATATGGGATGGAGACTACTAATTCTTTAGGGAATTCAAGCATTACATTGAGACTGTATAACTGACTAAAGCTTTGATCAATGATTATATCATGACATGACAGCTATCAATGTATAACAGATCGATGCGATTGCAGTAGGATGTATATCAAACAGACTAGCAAGAGTCAACCCCCACAATAACGTTATAATTATCCGTATCAAACTCCTGCCCATTCACCGTATCACTCCACTGCGTCCCCCAGCCCTTGGTCCCAGAGTTGAAGTCCACATGGGCACAGGTCGACACAATATCCTCCGCATATGTTCCCAGGTAGCTACAGCTGGGCTGGATGTACCACGCGTTATCATTGCACAGCCAGATAGCAGCGTTGTAGGAGCAGCTGATGCGAGCACACACTCGCGGGCCGGCGGCAACGCCGCACACGCCGGTAAGTCCCTTCAGGTAGTCGATTCCTTGCATGATGGTCACAGTCGAGCATCGTCCGCCTTTGTCGCCGGGGATGTTGCAGATGACGCCGGACTGAGGGGGTTAGTCTACCGGACATCAAGGGAATGACGGACCTTGTTTCTTTCCTCAATGTCGCGGGCACTGAGGCTGCTGTCATTTTGGCCGAGGCGGACGACGAACTCGGGGTTGACGTCGAGGATTTGAGTCATGACTTCCTAGAGGTTGTTAGTCTGCGAGCTTAAGGTGGATCTATGGCTGCGAAGCTACCTGGATGGTCCCCTTGAAATCCAGCTACTATTTATCCATGAATGGGTTGTCGGCAAATTCTGACATCCCCCAACATGTGTCAAGTTTCTCTGCTTGATTGGCTGCTCGAATACGCCTAAATGCACTTGCTTTCTCATGGTTCTATTTGCCCTGGCTAAGACTTGTTAGATTATTAAGGGTCTGAACAAAGAGGCGCAGCACACATAGAAATCAGACAGAGAACCCCAGGCAGCGACATATGTAAGTTGATATCTACTTTATTTTGTCTAATCACCTACTATCCAGAATAATCATCAGCCTGAGAATATCTGACTCAGCTCTACTGTCTGAAACTCATTATGTCTACACATAGCGCCGACACATACAATGACATGAACGAGACCCCGACACTCAATCGAAGAGTCTCAGGCGAGACATTACACGAGTGAGCGCCCCAAAACTGTTCCACTTGCTTAGCACTGACACGACACATCTAGAAACCCAGGGCAAGCTGAGGCTAGCCTCAAAGAGCAAAAACGCCCAAGCGACATCAACAACCCCAAGCAGCTCAGGTATCTGTTCAAGAATCCGGAGTGGATTGACTGTCCCTTTTGCCATGAGCGCACTTTGTCCAGGGTTGAGACGAAGAGTAACGTGGGCGCTGCGTATGCCGCGCCATCTTCCCATTTTCGACACTTGTCTGTGTCTGTTCAGAGAGGAACTAATAGATGAGCAGAGTTGTGTCCACGGCAATGAGTGCAGTCTTCATGCTGGCTGGTGCTGGTCCTCAATGGGGTGGTGTGCGTGATTTCACACATTATTGCTCGAAGTGTGACCACAAAGTGGCTGTCAAGTACCATTCCAAGGGCGATGCAGATGTCTTTAGCCCGGAATATCCGAGTTAGATATTCATTCCATCCAAACTGCCCCAATCGCACTAGAGGACAGTTTGATACTTCCCGCAACATCAGACCAGTTGCGATGCCTGGAAGGCACATAAGGCAACCCGGCCAATGTATGGAGAGATGTTTCACAGACTGCATATGGCATCAAACCCACCAGTGAATTCCTAGGCTAGACCTAACTGAAATGAACAGAAGAGTAGAATGCAGCCTGCAGATCAGCAGGCATGAGCACATTAATCTGGGCTTGATGGACATCTAAGCAGTGCTGAGATATTGTGACAGGCTCACAGCTTGAAGATGCTTGGGATGCCAGAAATACAGCTGTAAATAGTCTCAGTAGTGGTCATTTTCAGTGTTAACTTCACCAGTCCTCACATTCTACAGGTAATTTCGCTGCTATAGATGCTCTATGGATCCGCCAACATGTTAAATTCAATATGTTTAATGCTTTATTTGAGAAATGCAACTGACTATACACAATGAACTCTGATAGAGTTGTGAAATATCTACTCTGCTTAAGCATATGAGTGCCTGAAGGGTGAATGGACGATAATTCTATGACCTCCAAACCCTCATCATCCAGCTCCATAGGCCATCTAGACTCGTGGGGGGCGGGCTTGCCTTGGCCTCGGAATCGACCTTCTCCAGTTGATGATAATGATCGGCGTTATGATAGATTTCGTGACCATCCATGCCGTTCATCACACGCAAAGAGGAGCTTTGCGGTCTGGAAGAGGTTGGTGTTCGACAGTCCGATTTCTCATCCCCGGTACGTGCTCTTATAAGTCGACCTGCCGTCTGCACGCAACTGCCGTAGGCAAACCGGATCAGAGAATCGCCAGTGAGACTGCCAATGATAAAAACGTCTTTGGCGACCTCGAGATCCTCCAAGGCCTTCACTCTCAATGTCTTGCCCGATATGATGGGGCTTGGTTCCGTTCCGTCTGGACACCCAAGAACCTCAGAAAGAAGGGTTTTATCGAGATAGCCAAGGCTTCCACGACGACCGGTAGCATATACCAGACCACGGACGGTTCGTTTTATTGTGCCTCTGTCGGGCAGTTGGAAAGTTACGACTGCAGAATTCGATTGCATCTCCACTGCAATCACTTGTGCGTTTGGGAGGCCCTCGTAAACCGTATCCCAGGCACGACTTTCCAGGAACGGAGAGGATGTCGTCCGCTTCGGTCTGACGGGACGCTTGGCTGTAGCTGACTCGGCGGCAAGAGCAGCTCGCTTCATTAGTCGATACACCCCCGCATATTCCGGATATGCGCGCTGGTGACAGCTGCGGAGTGGAGAGGGATGTTCTTCCGGATCCCATTTAAATATGTGAAGAAGTTTTTGGCTCGCCGGAGCGGATATTATGATATCCGCGGCCGAGAAGCCGGAGCCTATAACAAGGAGCGGTATCTCCGGAGTCGGCTGAAGAAACCGTAGGGGTTGTAGCATCGGGAGGGGCTGCAGCACGTCCGAGAATATTCCACTCGCCAAGACCAGATGCTTGCAATGAATATTGTGAGAGGCAATGAAGAAGCCATTCGCGGTTCTTGTGATACCGCTCAGAGTCTCGTTACTTTGAAAAGCGTCATCGATTCCAACTGCCTCAGGATAGGCGCTGAAATAGTCCGTAATCTCCCTCCTAGTGGGCCGCGTGAATGCGGGGAGATCCTTGCCATTGACCTTGCGGTAGTGCTCAGCGAAGGAATATCCTGGTAAGGACAGCATTGACGCATAGCTCAAAGTTTGAATATCCCAGCTAGCGAATACCAGGTTGTCGGTCCATTGACCACCAGCCTTCGGCGCCTTGCCGAATACCAAGTGTGGGACGGCTTTTTCAGGCACGTATCGCCACTCAGCTCTTGTTTCACCCTCTCCCTCATCTACGTCGATGCTCGGTCGGACGAGTGTGTCGAGCAGAACGTTTACTGGGAGAGCTTGCGTCGAGTACGACAATCGAGAGGCATAGAAATGGTCGGTCAAAGCCCTTACATCCGCATCCAGTAATTCCGGTTTGTCCTTTAGCTTTGCATGGAGCAGAGGGTCAGGATGCGGACGATCTATGGAATAGTACGGGAGATGACCATGGAGAATAAATGACAGGATCATAGCCGATGGCCCGTTCCCTATCAGAATGCAGTCTCAAAGTCAATCAAGAGGCCACGGCCATTGGCGAGAAATACCTTCATTCCCTTAGAGAATGGCGACATACCGATGATGATGGTGTCAGTTTCCATTGCAGGCATCCTGTGTGCCCCGGGTCGCGGTTTCAGCGCGGGGCATTCTGCATCAGACATGCGATGGTCACAGTTTGTGGGGCCCTGATGATCCAGTGAATCTGTTTACTACCTTCAGATGAAGGTGAATCAACTGAAAGGCCATCGAGAGGTTGACAAGGTCATAATCTGATTAGTAGTGATTACATGAGGGGAGTTTATGAAGGCTCGGACTGGGGGGTTTGATCATAAACGGGGTTCGCTGACAAAACAAAAGTGAGTCTAGCGACGGTTTTGAGCCGGTTGACGGTAATCGAGGTCACCGAGTGGCGTCCGGATACGAATGAAATCAGATTGCCTTGTTTAAGCCTGCTAGATCGAGCTGTCTGCCTTGTTCAGGCAGCATTTCCAGAACAAGTACGCCGTGGACCGATCCGGATCGGTTTGTATTTCCATATGTACGGCAGATGTAAAGTAGTAGGCTAAAGAATGTAGTGAGTCGAGTGACATATGCAGCTCCTCGGCGCCGACCGAAACATCGTGAAGTCATCGTGACTGGACATTCGCTGGCCGAAGCCTCCGGTTGCGGGTTGTCTTTCCAGATGTGGTATGTAGGGCTGAGGGCTATGTACCCAGCTAACCCTAAGCCCTAACTACCACATCCGGACACGGCTGACGCGTGATACGTAGGCCTCTTGGATCCTGGGATCGTCATCCAGGTGTTGGAGGGACAAACGATGAAAGGTTCGAAGACATTTCGAAAGTTGGAGTCGAAAGTCTCTGCGCTGCCATGATTGTCTCACCAAGGGCTTGGCTACCTTCGTCTTGATTGGAAATTAGAGGCTTGCGTTCCCAAGAGCTGGACTGGCCTCCATAGGTCCTCCGATCGCAATTATGTATCATCTGGCCAAGTCTCTATACCTCTACGCTACCAGCAAAGAGGGTAAGGATCACATACTTCGTTCTCATTGCGTGTCTGTCGCTGACAGACGGGTTCAGAATACTCAGTCCTGCTACTGGGGTTAGACAACGCGGGGAAAACTACGCTCCTATCGCAAATCAAGGCCCTCTATCTGCCCCGTCCCGATGGCGCCCCTGCTCCCAACCCAGGCAAAACCGTGCCTACGGTCGGCCAGAATGTCGCCACGATTTCATTACCGGACATGTACCTGAAGATCTGGGATGTGGGCGGTCAAATCTCGATGCGAAATCTGTGGCAGAGCTACTATTCGAGTTGTCACGCCATCATCTTCGTCGTTGATAGTACGGACGTAGGACAAGATCCAGACATCACCCGTCTACCCTCGAACCGGAGACCCGGCTCGTTGTCGGGCCCATCCGTGCTTGGAAGCGACGCCGTTACCGAAGAAATGGCGGGGATCAATGCGCCGGGGAGCGAGTTTGGGCGGCTGGACGAGTGCCGCCAGGTACTGGAATCGGTGTTACAGCACTCTGATGTGGCTGGAGTACCTATTCTAGTGCTGGCCAACAAGCAAGATCGGGAAGATTGCGTTGAAGTTGTCCGCATCAAGGAGGGGCTTGTGCGCAAGGTCTTTGAGGGTGAATCCGGAGGCGGAGTGCGCGATAGTCGCGTGTTGCCTGTCAGTGCCTTGATGGGTACAGGAGTTCGGGAAGCAGTCGAATGGGTCCAGAGCCGAGTCAAGTGGAATAAGGAGGGACGACCTCCCATCATGAAATGAGGCTCAGTGTGGATCAGAACCTTGATGTCATTGCAGGCCGCAGAATCAAGGAAGACATACTGGATGGGCCAGTTTGGCCCGGAGCAGCTCCTCGATCTCTGAGCAGCGGAATGTTGATACCCTTCTTTGTTGGTGATTGATTATTTGATTTGGGCGCTGGAGGGCTTTGTCTCATACAAGATACCTAGATAGTTCTGTACATACATTAAGGTAATCGCAGCAACCATCCGATTCCATGACGGAATGCGTCACTTTCAGTTGGATCTTGTGCTGTCACAATAGTGGACACACAAAACTGAAGCTATCGCGAACTTCACGGACTCGCTTGTCCGTTTTCCCGAATCATCACAATACCAACAACCTCAAATCTCTGTAGCGGAGAATCTACAATACATAGTGATATGTCGAAGGTACAATTAACCGGTTATATGCGCAATCGCGTGAGATAGTGTCGAAGCTGGATACTCTCCGCATGATGATTCCATCCTTGACGTCACAACACTGTGGTTGCAATGCAACTGAAGCCAGATACTCACCTGAAATGATTACCTTTCTACCCAGCGAGGAAGTCGACTGTGGGAATCAGAGGAGCGTATGATATGGCTATGAAGTCACTCCTATCAGCTTGACGTCATGTTCTGGTTCTATCCTCTGAGCCCCTGCACCTAAGTAGATTGGCTGAGATGATGTTTCTCTACAAGAGCCTTATAAAGTCTTTGCCAGCAGTTGATCGATTATTGTCAACAACTTTCATCCACTAGCCACTACACAGAACTAGAGAACAAGACCTTTCTCCAGACCAATCTACAACAACTTCAACATGAGCCACTCCGCCAACCCCGATTCCTTCGACAACGGTAGCAACCAGGACTTCATCAAGCCCAAAGTACAGCGTTCTGCTCCCCTCAGAAAAGATGGCGTAAGTGTACCTTGACTTCGAAACGAGCTATGCCAACCCATGAACAGCACCAATTAGGCCAAAAAGTCGCCCCTGCAGACTTCAAGCCTGAGTTCCGTGCGGAGACTCATCCTCCCGGCACTGCTCCCGCCAGCAATTCATACACCCCAAACACCACCTCGGAGTCTGGCAGCCAGGCCTTGAACCCCTTGGTCGAGCGCAGCCATGGAAAGGAGGCCGTCAAGACCACTGCTGAGCAGACCTTGAGGGGAGCCACCTCCAAGGACGTCCACAGGGGTCTGGGCCACCCCGGCTCTGGCCAGACCAAGACCGAAATCAAGCACCAAGGCCAGCACCACCGGAAGCACGAGGGCTCCGGCCTCGAGGGGGTCGGCAGCTACCGTGAGGACAAGTATGAGCGCACACTGGCTGACCAGCGCGGTATTGAACGCGAGGAGGCCAAGCCCGGCCAGCACGGCGACAAGGGCGTTTCGGCTGCCGAAGATATTCCTCCCGAGCCGGCGGAGAAGGCGGCCGCCGAATGGAAGTATGAGCCTGGTACCAAGAGGGATAACGCCACCAGGCACTAGGCGAGTTGAAAAGTGGGATAGGCTGTTTTTAATGTTTTGTTTTCTTGTCTTGTATAAATCACTCGATTAGCGTGGGTATCACGGTCGGCATTTGCTATGCACATAAATGGAACGATCCTGAAATGGAACAAAAAAATTTGAACATCGGAATGAAGATGATGCAGTCATGAGTATATATTCGCTCACTCATGGAGCAACACGCTCCTGGCTAGTTCGAGTCCTGTTGTTGAGATGGTGACCCTTCTCGCTATTTTGACCCAGTTTTTTGGGCCAACTGCGGGCTATGTCGATGTTCGATCGTGGAAACCACATCTCGAGAAACACATAGAGTAGGAAATCTATTACTGCACAAAGGCAAAACAGTTTGCCGGCCCAAACACCACACCCGTAGTATCGTTTTAGCCGGTCGATCAAAGCGAAACTCCGCACCCTGTCAGCGTTGGCTTCCCAGCCTTGACCAGGATAATATCCATAAAATTCCTCCGGACTCATATCACCAGAGATGCCCTTGTAGACACGCTCTGTTCGTTGAGCCACATCCGTCCAGGAATACATCATCTTGACCTGATCGTGGAATCGATCTGTTCGCACTTTGTTCGAACGCAAAGCGGCAATCGCCTTTTCAGTCGCTATGACCAGATCATCCTCTTCAGGCTTCGCAAAAGTCGTCATGTGCTGAGGTAGCACTTCTGGGATGCCACCAACGCGAGTACAGACCACATAAAGACCACAGCTAGCAGCTTCGACGATGACCGTACCGAATGCCTCCGTCAGACTCGGATGTAGATAGATGTGGCCTCGGACCATGACATCCCGAACTTCTTCATGACGAATCGACCCGAGCAATTCAACTTTGTCCTGTAGCACGTTTCGTTCCAGCATCTGCTCCAAATCGATGGCTTGCGGTCCCGAACCTGCGACGATGAATCGTACATTCGGATGGGAAGCCAGAATCCTTGGTATTACCGCAATTAGGAGATCCGTTCCTTTGTTGTAAAAGAGACGCGAGATGACAACAATTGTGATAGTATCGTTCGGCCCGATCGGTGCGGGCGGTGGTCGCGGCTCGATTTCTGCTGACGTTCGTTCACCCTTGCGCATGTCGTGAGAAAGGGGGCGAAAGTTTTCTGCGACTACGGCGTTGGGAATGACCGAGACCATCAACGGGTCTAATGATGCTCGAAGCACTGTATTCTCCTTGCTGTACCCACAGGTAAGAATCAGGACATAAACCTAGCCTTTCCATGCACATACCATGTATGACTGACACAAATGACATGATCAACGTCGCTCAAGGTAAATTTGAGCATCTTGTTGGCCAGAATCGAACCGGCATCTGCAAATCCAAATAGAGAGTGGTCGGTAAAGACCGTGCGTAGACCCATCGTTCGAGCATGTAAAATGGCTTCATGGCATAAGCTGCTCATACTACCGTGGCCATGAACGATTTGTATTTGTTCACGAATCACGATATTCCGGAAAAGGGGGAAGAAGGAGAAAACTGTCGGCATGGTCGACTCGCGATAAATGACGAAGAAGGGAATGTGGTACACTTTGAGACCATTGGTAAGATATCGGACTCCGGTCCGCCCTTTGTATGCATGGGTGATGATAATGACTTTATGACCGCGGTCGATCAGTTTCTGGAATACCAATGAGCAGGTATATCATGTGAAAAGAACTAGAGTGTCCATACAGTTGACAGTTGGTATATGTGACTTTCAACTCCACCTGGTAGAATAAGTCAATTCGGCAAAAGTTCAATGCACGACGAGGAGACCAACCTGGTTGAGGGAAGAAGAAGTCACAAACCATACTGCGCGGATCATTGTCAGCTTCATCTCTTCGCGATGAGAATGGGATAACTAACGCAATGTTGTAGGGCATGTTGGCTGCTCCACCTTGTCTAGCTGGTATCCAGACAATTCTGAGACGTAGCGGCTGTCACTCTACCCATGGCGAGCAGTTTCGCCCTTCAATAAGATCAGCACACATCCAGGTATACTAGCATACAGCGAACAATATGCGACCAAATGAATGTAATCTCCAAATGAAGCTCCAGACGTGATCGATCCCTAAGGCCCACTTGCTGGCGGCATGGGGGGCGGTGTATGAATTCTGCCGGGTAAGCAACAAAAATATCCCGCGGAAAGAAATCATGTTCGAGAAGAATCTCACAAAGTCATTACGGTCTCAGCAACCAGCAATCCTGCCAGCTCTTATTGGATCATGGCTGGCGACAAATCCACACATCATGTGTCAGTCAAAAAAGATTCAGCCACTCCACTGACCGCGAAGAAGTCTCACAAGAGGAAGAGAGAATTGGATGGCTCCCCCATTGCTACATCGACACCAACACCCACCAAGAAAGCTAAAAAGACTCAGAACCTTTCGCCAACCGCCGTCCCTCCAAAAGAAAAGCCAAGCAAAGAAAAGCGGAACAAATACTCGGACGAGGGCAGTATTCGCAAAGAAAAGACCAGGAAAGATAGTGCTGTCTCGCCGATCAGCAGCAAAGCGAATGCTAGGAGCCAAAATGACGAGGGCTCCAAGTCTAAGAAGAAATCAAAGAGCGAAAGAGGACGAGCTTCTGAATCTAATGAGAAGTCTACACATATGAAAGGAGCGCAAGACGACTCGGACGACAGTTTGGAAAGGAAAGAGGTCAAGACCGGCAAAACGGGGAAATCCACCAAAAGTTCCAAAGATGAGAGGAAATCTGAGAAGAACAAGTTTTCTGGCATTCTGTCCAAGTTTGAAAGATCCGCCAAGTTGAAGGAGGCCGCCAAGGCGAAGAATGTCAGTACAGATGACGGGGCACCCGCAGGACCGCTTACCGCAGAACCGGTCGTTGCACAGGGCTTGGAGCCTCTTCCACAACCTGAACAAATTACGGAAGAAAATGAGAAACCAAGCTATTCATCCCTTCCTGCCTGGTTGGCCAATCCCCTCCGAGAGTCGGCGAACAAGCGCGCCAAATTTTCGGAATTAGGGATCGACTCAAATCTTCTTCGCGTGCTCGGAGATCATGGATATGAGGAAGCTTTTGCGGTACAAACTACGGTTATTCCACTGCTTCTTCAGGGCCCCAGGAGACACCCAGGTGATCTTTGTATATCTGCCGCTACGGGTTCGGGAAAGACACTATCATATGTACTGCCTCTGGTCACCGCGCTGGAACCAACACCGGCACCCAGGATGAGGGGGCTTATTGTAGTGCCCACAAGAGAGTTGGTGAAACAAGCCAGAGAAGCCTGTGAACTGTGCGCTGCTGGCTCCGGACTCCGTGTCGGTTCTGCTGTGGGAAATGTGGCAATCAAGGACGAACAGCGCACATTAATGCGCGTTGATCAATGCTATGGACCTGAAATCTCCAAGCAGAGACAGACTGTCGATCTCACTGGAGAGGATTGGACGAACTTTAATCTCATGGACTATATTGCAGAGGCAGGAGACTTGAGCGAGTCCTTGCCAGGCTACGTTCAAAGGGCGGAGCCGAACATTGATATCTT